TAAAGGGTAAAGTATATATATATATATATATATATATATACTAATGTTGCCCCTTATATTAGCTGCTCGAATTTTAAAACCCTAGCACAAACATCCCTTTGTTATTATAAGATTTTTGCCATGTAAATAAATTCTTTCAACTATTGCTGAGTTTCCATATTTTGTCAAATAAAATTAAATCATAACTTTTGCACACTATGTCATTATTGCAATGACACGGGGTAATATTAAATGTAAAAAACATGGAAACTCAAAAAAAAATTTATTTGCTCAAGTACAATAGAATTTATTTTAAGTAATAAATAAGCATAATAGCATTGCAACATTGCTTAATAACATTGTAATTTACATTTATTGATATTTTTCTTTAAAAAAATAACATTGTACTTTATAAAACACAGTAATTTTTCAAATATTTTATGCATTCTTCAAGTCAAAATATTCTTTCGGTTCTTTTTCACTTGGCTCCGGAACAAGGATTATACCTAAAATAAAAACTGATATGTTAGAGTTGGCTTTTTAATTACCTAAAAATTAAAATACCTTTTTAGCGTTTCAATTTCTAACGGTGAAACGTCAATTTGACGAGCACAATTCGTTGTGGAAAAATTCGTCTCCAGATCAATTAGTCGTAGGACAATTCGTCTCGGCGACATTTCGTTGTTTGCGCAATTCGTCGTGAGCGCAATTCGTAGCAGGCACAACTTGTCATATTAACAATTCGTAGCGAGAAAATTTCTTGCTGTTTCGATAAAATACGAAGATAAACTCTTGCATTGTCTGCGAAATCTAACTAAATATTTATTTATTGGTCATTCAAAAATTACGAACGCTTCTCAGAAGGGTGGGATCAATTTACATTGATATTGGCGCAGTTGGTTTGTCGTCGGCCTTCTGAGCCCAAGTCTGCGGGTTCGATCCCCGGCCCAAACACCGGATTTTCGGATGCAGAAAATCCTCAGCAGCCACGTCGTATGATTATGCTGCATGTAAAAGATCCCTGGAGTGCCTTATTGGCTCTTGGCATTTCCGACAAAATTGAATTCCTAGTGCACTTTAGCATCCAAATAGAGTCTCGGTGCTGCCATCTAGTGTGGCAGAAGCTAGACGTCCAAATTAAAATGACTAACGGTATCTCACCCATTGTGGTGGTCCTGAAAGAGTGGATACCACCTCTGAAGAACGCACCAGGTCTGCTCATCGGCAAGACAAATTGTGCAGCTCATTGGAAATAAAAAATAAAAAATTTATTTAGACTTAAGAAATTTATTAGACTTACTCTAACACAACACTAGAGCGACAAAGAGAAAATTACAGTCTTGTCGCACGTCTAGTATTTAAAAAATCAAAACTTCACACATGTATAAGTATCGAATGTTCATAAATACCAGAGCCAGGTCTAGCACAGTGGGGTAATTTTGGTGTCCAATTCCCGTCTATATTGCAGCGATAAGTTTTCTTTGGAACAGCGCGTCTGTTCTCAAAATGCTCACAGGATATGTCACAAGAAGTTCCTTTATCTACAAAATGTGTGGCGCACTTCATTTTACCACCTGGTTGCAGCGTGACACCACAATCAACAAATGCTGTAAAGAAGAGATATTAGCAAAACAATAACATTAAAATGAGCTCAGTGTTTCGATGATTTAGTAATCAAAAGTTAAACAAAAAAAAAGCGATTTACAATATACAGCCGCTATATTTGGTCTGATGTTCATGTTAAATTTTCTTGCCAGTTCTTTATAACTAGTAAATGCAGCATGCATGCTATTTATGTAAGCATTCAACTTGCATAAACACATATCAGAAAACAGTGTAAGGCTGATTTTAATGTCAGCAACCAATCATCAATAACAAATCTTTATCACAAAGTCTAAAAAGGTTTATAAATGATTATCAAATGAACCATGCAAGCTTGAAACGATGTTAAATTTAACTATTCTATTTTACACGCTATGTGGTTCGCATTAAGCTTGCATGAACAACCCTGTTATCTCGAGACGGAATCTGCCTTTACAAAACAAAGCTAGAAAAACCTTATGAAATCAAGGATTATTCACCATTCGCAAATCAAGAGTAAAAAACGTTCTCAAACCAAGGAAAATTTCAACTACCCAAGTTTCATTTTATATTTTATGATCATCGCTGATTATTTGTGCAGTCTTTTATATACTTTCTTTAACACTTTAGATAAGGCTGACTTTATCATTAAGTTAACGCAAGCAAAATGTTGCATATGAGAGACAAAAATAATATTTACAGTACCTCTTAATAAAATTGAGATTCTTTTGCAAACATTTTTGTGTGTCTTTATTCGATCTTTAAGAAAACAAGCTTTGCATACTAATATTTCTACTAAGTTTACAAAAGGATTAATTAGTCAATCTTTCTGTGCCAACCAAATAAAGAGTAAAATATAACGTTCGCCGTAACGCTACATGATATCTAGGATTCTGTTATGTAATTATAAAATCGAAGAGTGAAATACAATTTTAACATTTTCATAATGAACATTTTAACATTACTAATAAAGTACAATTTTAACATTCATTTTCATGTATGAGCCTAGTCATATATCAATAAAAATAACTAATCAATCATTATAAATTTTTTACTTTAATACATCATGTTGAACAAAGAATTTCAATATAATAATGTTTTAAACTTTACTTTAATACAGTACCAGCTAAAAAATAGCTCAGAAAAAGGCTTTTTTAATGTATTTTCTTACAGTGTTGTGAGAAGCTATTTAAAATTCTAATTTAAGTACTGATTCTACGAAGTTTTTGGACTTCCTGTCATCCACATTACAAATAAACTATAGTAGGAATTAACAAAAAATTTTAAAATTTCATAATTGCTTGAGAGATTCCTTGAGATATTCATCCATTTTTCCACGTAGGCGAATTTCCTACCCCCTTCCTTATCTGTCGTACATTGAAAGCGATATTGAGTGATCGTCTTGTACTAATCCAGAATGCTCTGAGTGTGTACTAGTCCCGCAGTGGACTGATTGTTAAGACACGGTTCTCAGCAGATCATCGAAGTCAAGCATCACTGACTGCGGTCAGTGCGCGAGTGGGTGACCACTTGGATCAGTCCGCTTAGGGACCGAGATTGTGCGGCATTGGTCCTCGTTAAACCTCGTCTATCGTAAAGTGCTCGACTTCACCTGCAGGTCGTCGGGCTACCGAAACGGGGGTGCCATCCTCTCTGCAGAGGATCAAAATTTTGATGGCATGTCTTCGGATCATCCTCGGGAATGTTTCCCAGAACGTCGCCAATAGCCCATTGCGCAGCTCTAGTGTGACGTAAAAGAACTACAGCAACTGAGAGCGTACTAGGCATGATTCTTTATCACCTTCACGAGATCATCAAATAAAACCAATTGTTTTTTTAATCTTCAGTCAAAAATGGAGCAAAAGAGTTCCGATTTCTGTTTCTGTTGGATCGTAAAACTAGTTAAAGTGATTCTTTGCTTACCTGACATGGTAACTTCCATTTCCTGACATTCGTTTACCTGATATGACATTTAAAGATATTTTTATCAGCAAGTAAGACTCCTCAGTTCCACCTTACACCTAATTGCTGAAGCGTCACCCCTTCGTACGGCAAAACGAAGGGGTGTGCAACCCTGAGTTCACCAGCCCTCCTTAACTCCCCATATCATCTCACCTATCAAAGATTCAGCTTCTTAGAGGGGTGGGGTCTGAAATCCAGGTGCATCTAAATGTGGATGAATCTCCCAAGATACCAGTTTGAGAATACTGCAAGAACTGAAACTCTGCTTTAGAATATTTTGACCATCTTTTAACTTTAAGAGATGCTGACAAATTAAATATAACTTGCATGTTCAAAACTTAATTGATAATACTTGTTTGCTTCAAGGCTATTCTCCACAATCTATATCATCATATGAAATAACTTTTTATAGCGAATAGTATGCTACTTTTATAATACTTCAGAGTTAGTAACAGTTATTCATGATTATTGCGTTACATGTAGTCACTACTCTTTTTACTAATCTGAAAATGGTGCAAAATGTCAACTTAAAAAAAACTCTACTATTTTATGGAATAAAGCAATTTGTAATATAACTTATTTTGTTAATCAAAAAATTTATCCAATGCTGTTTTGTTTTGATTCATAAAATATGGAAAAAATAAGAATTAATCATTCATTTTGCTGATTTTTATTTAAATAAAATTTTTATAATGCTTTCAAGTACTTCCATGCACTGTAAAAAATTTTGGTGCATAGTTGCCACCATTTTCGGTTGGTGTATACTAGAATCATTTACAATGCGTGTAGCCACTTTTTTTTATTTTTCTCACTGTTATAGTTTTATTAATTTATTTAATCCATTTTTTTTATAACTAACAACACATATTTTCATGCACATTAGAATCAATTTAATGGCTTCATTGCAAAAATACTTCGTTTAAAAGGCAAGCACTTTTTTAGTAATATATTCGCACTAAGTTTTGCAAACAATTGTTATTTTGTCAATTATATATTACTTTTTCTTGATTTTTATGTAATTTTTTGCAATTTTTTTGATAACTGCAATTTCGAACTTAAAAATTTAATCAGTTTACTTCACCAAATATAGTGGAAACTATATACAATAAGCCTTTACCAAGTAATATATGCACGACTCTGAAAATTGCACTATACTCAACAAATTAGAATTTAATTTTTCTTAAAAAACAATAATTTTATATACAAATTTATCCTAAACACTCAATGTGAACAACTCATGACATTCTGATAGTTTTAAAAGTTGTTCACCAAATTATTAAGAAAGTAAGTCCGATGCATTCCTGGAAAATAAGAGTTACGTATAAAATATAGCTTATTGTGAATTTATAGGGATTAGCGGCATAATATTTCATGAAAGAAATGAAGTAAACAGTTATGACTGTGTAATGGAGAATCCATGTCGAAAAATAAAACATTGCTTCCTGAGTTTGAAAACAAGAATCTTCTACCAAAGTTATTAATACAATAGTTTTAACTAAGAATCTTACGTTTACAATCATCGAACATTCGGCGTGGTGTCCATTGCCCAACATCTGTAAAACATCTCATCTTATGTTGCACTCCAGTACTCAGTGTATATCCAAAGACACAGGTTTGCAAACATTCTCTATAAACATATAATATTCATTAACAAATATCTTAAAAATCCCTTACATCTATTTAAATTTTGATGTGAAATTCATCAAAAAAACTCCTTATACTTATTGAAAATTCTATAAAACTAATTAATATGAAGAATTTCCTTATATTCATTCAACCAAAGGCATGTGTATTCCTCTTTGCATTCAACACAACACATTAAACTCAACGAGAAATCGGTTAAAAATGAAAACATGTAATATTCGATAAGGGTTCGGTCAGAATTAGCAAAAATGCACGAGGAAAGAACATTATATCTTCTTTTGAACATAATATAAAAGGAATGATCACTTTCGAACATAATGTTCAGCATGATTTCGTGTTTAAATATATTTATATATATTTAACATCGATAGTTTTAAATATATTTAACATCTTGTGAAATTCGTTTGCTTTAATTAGTTAATATAATTCAAAAGTTTTTTATTGAAGCTCAAAATTATGTATTGCAATTATACTCTTAGAAGTATCCCCATTATAAGCATTGGAAAGAAAATTAAAGTTAGCTCTATAAATTACGAAATATCCTATTAAAGTCTGACGTAACTGATTGATCATCGATGGGTTCTCAGTGGACAGGTAAGGGGAATGACGTCAGCTTAGAAATCTCTATAAAACTAATACGTACTATATTTAAACCTTCCGATAATTTTTTCATTCGTATGGCATTGGTTTACCTTAAATTCTGATTTTAAAAGTCATAGTTTTTATTATCTCCAATTTATTAAAAAGCACAAAACTGAAAGGAATAAAAGGATTTTACGCCATTCTCTAAAATATCATTGCAATGCTCATAAATATCATGCTCAAAATTACCAAATTTTACCACACTTGCCAAACTTTATCACATGTTATTAAATTATAATTTCTGCATGGTTTTACCAAAATCATTACCAAAGAGATTCAGTGAAAATTACAGAGCTTTTTTGTATTCTCATAAACCCAGAAACGTGGTATATCCTGGTAATTTTTACCATTCCTTTTTTTTCTCATGGCATTTATCTAGAGAGAAATATCAGTTGCGTAAATAGGTTTAAATCAAAAAAAAAGTATTAATGCATTATATACAGCAGAAAGTGGGGGGAAGGCCTGGTGGCTAAGATTCGGAAGACTGTTGAAGGTAAACTATTTGATTTAGAAACTATCAGATTTAATCAAGACATTCATTGTTTAGTTCTATAAAATTTATCATTCCCAAAAAGTCATAGATACACTTTTTTTTAAAATGATTTTTTTACAGATAAGTCAAATCACCTAATCCTTCTCCACCAGTGCCGCGGTTAGACCAAGTGCATATGTAAACTCTGTAGGAAATTTAGAAACGCTAATATTTCAGTGAAAAAGTAGCAGATATTTTTATTTTATGTATTAATTTCGGAATATTGTGTACAAAATTCAAATGTAAATTAGCTTTCGTGGACCCAACAAAAACGCTTTCCACATTAGACCTACTTTTTTTAATTAGAAAATACCACATTACAATATAAGCAATCAACATCTTTGTGTGTCGAGGAGTTAAGCATTTTTGATAAACCTGTTCTGTTATATTGGTTTCTGTTTATACGCTTTTCTTTTTTGATCGTTTTGCTTTGAAGAATTTTTTTTTCGTCACTGCAAATTAACTTTCTCTTCATTGAAAGCACATTTATTTTATGTTCTTTCATTTTTCCTTTTCTTTCTCCTGGCGTACTAAATCAGCTTTATATGGTGAAAGCAGTACTCTCACCATATAAAGAACCTCACCACTAATTGGCCCTACTCGGTCTTACCCCGATATCAGAGGTTATCAAAACGAAATAGAACAGTGTTAATTCTGAACAGAATGCTTACGGTTTGCTATGTTGAAAATCCTTAGTAAAACCATAATAATCTATGCTAAAAATCTTTTTTTAACGTGTAATGACTAATAAATACGAAAAGTTTAAAATCAAAAAACATAATAGAGCTGCCACAATAAAACAAACTTATATGAAACTTATATAATACAGTTTGTTCAGCAGTAACACGCCAATAAGGCAATTCTTTCTTAGTACCTAATAGCAGAACAAATCTCAATATAATCGAGATATAGTGCAGCTTTCAGGAGAGCTTTTCCAGACATCCGTCTCGCGTCGTGGCGGTTACTATGGAAACGAGGAAAAGTTACTTCGAATAGAGGTGTATGGGGAATAGTTTTGTCTTAATCATGACATAGGTCGGAGTGAGTAAGACAATCGACACCTTCTTTCCTCCATTTCATCCCCATTAGAGATGTGCTCTAGCTTGTTACCATAGCAGCAGACAATCCCAGATTTTTAGTCTGGAGGAGTTCTTCTCAAAGCCACACTAAACCCGGTCTTTCTCCACTCGCCTCAACTAAATAGTATATACATACTATATATACCAAATAAAGTCTCAACAATTAGTCTTATCGACTTCTATTTTTTTATCTCATTTTATTTAGTGTAAAAGTATACATGGGAAACAACACTCTCTAGTAAGATCCACCCCCTTTTGACCACTCTTCTCAGTAAATTAAAGATGGTACCTAAAACTCACCCAGAAGGTACATTTTATAAAATTCGAGATCAAATGAGGGTAAGAAGTATTGGCACTCTGAGTGTCGGCACTTAATACCGCGAGATCAATTTTTACCTTAAACTTTTACGGAACAAAAAAAAAGCTGATATAGCGTAATTTTTACAGAAATATTTACTTTAAAATCACTGAATCATAACAAAATTTTTACAGCGGGGGTGAGGGAAATATAAAGTATTCAGAAAATTTCAAGAGATAGAATGACGTCAAATGAAAAAAATTATTTTAAGTATTTTGGGGATATTAAACTATTTGAATTTCTGAAAGCATCATAGGAAGATTAGTCAATTGATAATTAAATATCAGAAGACAGTATAGTTGGGATGCGTATCACAAATTATACAACTGAAAGGATTGGGTTGAAAATAGCATGCAATACTTAATACAACTAAATTAAATAAACATATTTTTATGTATTTAAAAAAAATGATAGGAGAATATTACATTTTCGATGGAAAACTTTTGCAGTATAGTTGAGAGTGATCGAGAGATTTCGGCAATTGGCAGGAAGATGGCGAACGAGCATCTCTGTGGTGTTCATCGATTATTTCCTCAGAAGTCAGATCTAGAATTTACGAAATAATAATAAACTAATCTTCGATAGTATAAAATCTAATTAACAAATCTACCGTTCTTTTTTCTGCTATTACTATATTTTATTTAAGATAAATCGATGTCAAAAATAAAAAAAATTCGGAAAACAGCAATTGGTCGAATTCAATGAAAGCTTATCGTTTAAACTATACCACAATATGACGAAGAGCAATCTTTAAAATTCAATTAAAATGCATTACCGTTTAAAGTAGACAACAATCTGGTAAACAGCAATCTGCCGAATTGAATAAGACAGCTGTTTTCTATTTGTAATAGACAAGAATCTGGTAAACAGAAATCTGTCGAACTCAAAGAAACAGCAGTTTCCTATTTGGAATAGGCAACAATCTGGGAGACAGAAATCTTCCAAATTCAAAGAAAGAACAGCGAAAATTTTATAATACAAAATCATGTTTCCGAACATAAAATCGATGCAAAATATGAACTAAAAAAATACTAAATTTCTATGAACTGAAAATATTATAAAAGATATATTTTTTAAAAAAAATGATAAAATAATAACACTGCTAAATCATTGACTCAATTTCTTTCATTCTCTAGCTTCTTTATTATAAACACATACTAAATCACTACTCATCACTATCAATCACATGCTCATCACTATCAACTACACATACTAAACATATATATCAGCCTACTTCGTACACATACTTAAATGTATCAACTTTCTCTAAACAACATGAGAACGCATTGAAAATTGTTAACTACAGTAAAAAATTTCAACAAAATTTTAAAATGTTTCTTAAAGATGTCTTCAATTAGTGGTGGTCTAATCCTAAAATTACCATGAAAAACATTTTAGAGCTCAATTAGCAACAAAAAAGCTTATTCATAACTTCGACTTTATTATATCTCCATTATAAGTCAAACTTCAAGGGAATCCATCATAAGTCAAACTTCAAGGGAATTAATACGTCATAAAAAAGCTGAGATTTGGCTTGTCTGGCACAATATTCAGTTTCCTACAATACTTACCGACTGAAACAGAATAAGTTCTAATCTTTGGTTTAATTTTTATATCAATTCCATCTTCCGCCAGTACTTCGTGTTCTATTATAACCATCCATATCGAAATAACTTCTGCAAGATAAAAACAATACTAATTGCATCCAAAGAGTATATGTTTATGAATATGTATAAAAAAAGTACATGCGCAAAATTTTATAAAATAAGTCAATGGAAATAATAGAATTAAACCGAACAATATACAGAATCGTTTGATGTTGACAGTCGCTAAGACGTAGTACATAAACTTCAAAATAAAAATTTTAATCAAGCTGTGCTCCCATTTTTAAAACTGATACTTTTTTTATAGTGTTACATAATTGGACACCTTCAAGTGACGTCATCATGGGTAAATCCTGGCATTCGTATATGCCACGATTTAGGAGCCAACCAGGTTCAACACACACGCGTGACGTCGCGTACAAGTATCGAATTAAATCTGATCCGAAAATTGATTCAACGTGATATGATAACAAGCCAATTGCTGTAGCGTTAACCCGCAAAACACAACCACGCGATCAGGCCCAACCATGTGATTTAAATCACATGATTAAGATTTTATCAGCAGTCAATGTTAATTTTCTAATAACCAATAGTCTCTCAAGAACTGTTCTCTTAAAGTATCATAAAGGACTCTTTTATTAAAGTTATAACCCTCTCTGTATTAATATATTTTGATAAATAAATTTAAAATTTCTAAGCGAATTTTGCACAAGTTAAAAACACTCCAGAACTCAAAAAGTGTTTTAAAATATCATTTTTTATTCAAAAACAGAAGTTTAAATTTGAAAATAAAACTGTTCCGAAAATAGGTCTATTATAAATTAGTTGAATCAAAAAAAGTATACATTCTTTTTCTCGTTGTAATTACAAATTACATTGTAGAGATACCTTGTCGGGGAATTTCTTTTATTTTGAGCATAGAGCTCAAAATGAGTGCAAAAGAAAATTAATAAATAATGAACATGGTTGAAAATGTGCGGTTAAAAAATTGAATATGTGGCAACAAACAAAAAGCAATAAGAAAAAGAAAAAAATAATTCGGAATGCACGTTTGAAGCGAAACCTAAATACAAATCAAAATGCGCTTTTTTAATATTAAACAATGACCTATTTTTAACACCTATACTCCTAAAAATATACTAAACAATTTTAATTCACTTGCTTTTATTAAAACAACAAATAAATTCATTATTCGTAATGAACTTGCTAATTTTTATAATACAGTAGTCCTAATAGTAGTACAGCGAACAAAATCAAATGCTTCATCCGTTTTCTTAAACGCGCAAGATGAGCTATTTCCACTTTTTCAAAAGGCTCATTTTCAACTGTTTCCACTTTTTCAATCACGAATTTCAAGCTAATTCCACTTTTTCAACCGTGCATGTTGATTTTTTCAAACGATGTTGAGCTATTTCTATTTTTTCAATCGTGCATGTCGAACTATTTCCACTTTTTCAAACGCGCGTGTTCATCTATTTCCATTTCAAACTATGTCCATTTTTCTTGAATGCGTAATTTAGGCTATGTACAAATAAAAATTTATACCGAAAAGTTTTTAAAATGCATAATATGTAATATTCAGAAATATAAAAGCTTATTCTAAAAATTTTTCTTTTATGAAAATGTGAGAGTTAATTCATTCATATTTTAAGATACGTAATATTTTATAATTTATTTGGCTAAAAGTTGAAATAAATCATTCTTACAAATTGAAAAATTACTTACGAATTGATAACAAGATTGAATGCTTCATAATTAAAATATAGAAAGATACACTTTTACGAGATTTTACAAACAAGAATGAAAAAGGTAGTGGAATAAAATAGTTACTTTTTGAAACTTAAAATGCTAACGATTTCAACCACATAAAAAGGATGATTGTGCAACAATATTATTAGGTTTTTACCATACCGGATCTAAATCAAATGATTAGTCTTAAAATATCCAAGTAAAACGAGCTTAAGAAAATGTTATTTTTAAAAAGAATTTCATAAGAGATAATAATGTTTTTTTTTTAAAGTTTTTATAAGTACAGAAGCAAAAAAGAATATCTTCAAAACACAGAATGCTTCAATTATTTTTTACCAAGCAGTAGATTAATTCAATGCAAAAAATCTAGTTATAAATTTGTTTAAATTAATTAAAACTGTAATTAATTTGGCACACTACTGAACTACATTTTAAGTGGGAACATTTGGTGTTGAAAATAAATATTTTCCTAAAACAGTTCTTTCTCCAGTTGCTGTTTGGTTTAGTCTTCGAACTTAGCCTATTTTTTTTTTTTTTTTTGAATTTTTAATTATAATAAAAACTAAAATTTAAACAATACAAAATTTGAGCTTAAAAAAATGTGAAACTAAACAAACTTAAGAACTTTTTTTTTAGTTCTAAATCCTTAAAACTGTACTTTATATTTTCATTTTCTGTAATTACAAAAACTTATAATTAATGATTTAAACATACAAGGAAACATTTTTAAAAAAAAGCGGGGATGAAAAGAAGATAAAAAAAATTTCTTCAAAAACCACGAAACTAGGTATTTTTTTTTTTTTTAAACTATTGCCAAAATTATTTTTAAAAATTATTGAAGCCTCTGCAATAGTTCAGTAGAATAGTGCATTAGTTAAGTTTTTTCAAATAGGACCTTATTTATAAAAAGATATATATATATATATATATAAAATAANTTTAATTTTTCGTAATTTTTTGAAAGATAATTATAACTCCTTCCATTGCCAAATCATTCCCTTTTAAAATTTTTATTTTCAATTAAAAAATTAAAATGTGTTTCAAGCTTTTAGAGACACACTGTATACAATATATGGTATTCTTTCATTAAAAGTGGTGATGGAAAATTTTTTCGCCAAATCATACACAAACATAATTATCAATCAATGATAATTGCTGCGTATTACTTTTAAAAATTTTCAATAATCTAATATTAATAATCTGATATTTTTTAGAATCTGACAAGGGATATGAGTGCCATTGCCCGGTTCACCCTATCTGGTATAAATTTGCCATGTATACCCTAGACCAGTGTTTCCCAACGTGGGGTCCACGCCCCACTGGGGGGCAATTTGATTGTTAAGGGGGGCAATTCGAAAATGGACTCGACATGAGTTTAACCCTTTTGCTCCGGGCCATTTAAATGCAATGCTAGATTTCGGTGCCAAAATTGAAAGAAAAAATCAAATTCTTAAATAATTGCAGCCAATAAATATTATAAATTCTTTTGACGAGAACAGAATATCAACTGGGTTTTTGGCGTCGTCAAGTTAACTCCCCTGCAGTAGACTTTCAAACTTTAAAGAAAAATTTTAAAAAGAGGACAACAGTAAAGTCTCTAATTACTGCTCACACTTCAACTCATAATCGTATTCTTGAGGCTAGGTATCAAATTTTTTAATTCATCGCTAAATCTGGAAAAAATCATACTACAGGAGAGAATTTTAAAAAAAACGTCAATATCAGCATCTCTTAAAACGGTTCTTGAAAAAGATGACAAAGCTGTAAAAGCTATGCCACTCAGTAACAATACTGTTAGCAGAAGAATAGATGAAATGAGTGAAGATATTGAAAAACAACATGTTGAAAAGAGGAAAACAAGAAAATTCTCAGTGTAAATGGATGAATCAACTTTGATAGACAGTGTGGCAGTATTGATGACTTACGTAAGATATATTGATAAAGGACATTTTTCTAAAGAAATGTTGTTCTGTAAAAGATTGGAAAGCACCACTACCTTCAACGATATATATAATAAGCTAAAAAAAGTACATAGATCTCAATAATATACCAATAAATACATAACATCTTGTGCTGCAGATGGTGCTCCTAAGAAAAATGGCTGCAAAAAATTGATGAAAGATGAGAATCCAGAAATGATTCTCGTGCATTGTGTTATTCATAGGGAAAACTTGGTAGCTAGAAACATCTTGCCTGTTCTAAATGAAGTACTACATTCCGTAATAAAGTGCATCAATGATATTAAAGCTAATGCCAAATGTGAGCTTCTCTTCAAGCTATTTTGTGAAGAATAAAATTCAGACCATGTGAGACTTTTACTTCACACTGAAGTAAGATGGCTCTCCATAGGGAACTGCTTGAAAAGATTTGTGGAACTGTTTGACATTCTTAGTGATTTTTTAAGCGACAAACCTAAAATGAAGTATCTGTTAACAGTCGATGATATAGCATTTGTGAGTTATCTTTGAAAAACTAAATATATTAAATAAGCAACTTCAAGGAACAAATAAAACTCTTGTTGATGCAAAAGCGAAGATATTCGGTTTCATTACCCTTATTGAGTTATGTCAGATATATATTAACAACAAAAACTTTGAACAGTTTCATTGGCTCCAAAAATGTGAAGTAAATAATACCGCTTTACTTGTTATTGTCGATCATCTGAAAATTCTATCGGCTGATTTAAAAGAAAGATTCTCTGATTTAAAACAAATTGATTTTCCAATATGGATGAGGCAGCCAAAGAAGAACTCGCAGAAAAGCAAAATGATGAGTCAGTTAAAACTTTATTTAATATAAAGGTAGTGATGGCATGCCTTTGTGAGGAAACAGAAATCAAATACCCAAATTCAACCAAATGTGCAAGAAAACTATTGCTACCGTTTCCATCTTTATAATTAGCTGAATCTGGATTTAGTGCTGTAAATGATTTACTGCTAAAAAAAGAAATCGTCTGGATATAACGCAACGGGGATACTTGAGACTGAAGCTAACCAAATTGGAACCTAACATAAAATATCTGTGCAGCAAGGATCTCACTAAATTAAAATATTAAATTATTATATAGAAAAATCTTTATTAAAGCTATTTGAATTTTAGTTTTCATTATATGTTTTGAAAATTTACTTACTGTGTTTCGTTAACAATTTCCTAGTGATTTCTTCCTAAAACCTATCACTTAAGTTTCTTAAGTGAACAATTCAATTTTTCATTATTAGAAATTATGTATATGTTACATAGGGGGGGGGCATAAGAATTTTAGAATGACTTAGGTGGGGCATGGCACAAAAAAGGTTGGGAAACACTGCCGCAGACTGATGTTTTTTTAGTTAAAGTGCCACTGCCCCTAGTATTCCCTAAACTAACCGTGTAGGTGAAGAATTGCCTTTATGATCCCGAAGTAGCTCAACATGTTTTGGCGATTTTTAACAGTACCCACTATTTCTGCGAATGGAAAATCCGATCAACAGTAACCTCTCGCTATGGGCTTTTATCAAAAGACGCTTGTAACTCTTAGGTTTTACAGCAAATAAATGTCCGATATCAAATTTTATAAAAGCATACTTCGGACATTTACCAAGCCACTTTGGTATCTCTTAGGTTTTACCTGTAAAAACTAGAATTTATCAGACTTCCAACTTTTACAGTAGCATATACATAGCGGCTGACCATCAAACATTTCTTTTTAATTCAACATGTTAGGACAAATATTTTATAATTAGATAACAGAAAAGTTAAAATCCTTAAAAAGAAATTTGTTTGAAAGAATCTTTCAAAAAAAATTGTAGAGACTTTTTAAAGCACAATATTCGGAATACATTCTAAAAAGAAGCTCCATCGTTATAACAAGTTGTAACTTAATGTAATATCTGTGGTCAGACAGTATCAGTGTATAAAGGACTCTAAATAGACAAGGGGAAAACTTTTAAATGATGCAATGGATTATTCAGAACACGTTCAAAACTAGGAAACAACAAAACTCCAAAATTGACCAATGTTTTGCAAAAGTAATTTCCAAAAAAAATGAAAGAGACAGAAATGTATGGTTCGCTACGTTATGCTTAGGAAACCATAAAATTTATTCCCAGTAAATTTTGAATATAAATACAATGTTCGTCAACAAATGACGCTGTTGACTGAAAAATTATAAAATATTCCAACTGACGTCTACACAAATTTACACAGATGTCTGTTCAATTTGTCTTCAAAATAACATAGTTTCAACAAATAGTAGTTATTTTAAAAACTTAATTTTTATAGTTTTTCTTGAATAGAAGCGCCAGCTGTTAAGGAACTTTAAAACTAGATTTGAAAATTGGTGAGAATCATTTGAAACAGAATGCACCAAGATGAACGTTTCAATTTTCTTTAACTGATTTTACAAATCGTCAGTCATCTTTTGGGCACCCGGTAATTTTTTCGTGTTTAGTGACAGCATAAAGAAATAATTTAGAAATTATTCTTCGTAATGGCATTTTCAAAAAAAAGCTTATTTTAATGGTTAGTTGGGAACTTATAGCATACAAACATAAAATCCTCAAATAAAAATCATAAAAATCCTATAGTAAGTTTTTTATCTACTTATTGACATGTAAAACACAAAAAATATAAGCCACAGAAATAGTAATAACTCAAAATATTTATTTGCATATTTTTTGTACATTTAAAATACTTTGATTCAATTCAATTTTTTACAATTCTTATGAATTAAACAATAATTTTTTGAACAATTATTCAATCATACCAAAATATTTAAATATTGAATAATTTACTTATTGCACACATTTAAAAATATATAGGTCTTCTTGAAAAAGAGTGCAAAAGTCTTGATTGAATACTCAAATAGATTATTGATTTCTTAATGTAACCGTTAATTTATTTCTCAAATCATCAGTAATTTTTGGAACATTTAATAGGAGGCCTCTAAACTCACGCATTTCATAGAGATGCCCAAAAAAAACGCTATTTCACAAAATTGCAATGAAAAATTTTCAGTATTTTTTAAATATACCCTGTTTTTGGAGTGAAAATTTTAATTGCTCTTAAAATAGTGCGTTATAGTATTAAAGAGGTCATAAACGTTATTGTATAAAAAATCACTTTTCTAAAAAGTTTACTGATCGTATATAAAATTTGAAAAGGTATTTACCTTTTCCTTATTTATCAAACATTGTATTATATTTAAAGTAGTCAATAAAAGAAATTTCACACAATGAAGTATTATTAATCAAATATTGAACAATACATGATACTAACTAATCTACAACAATATCTACAAAAGAGCAGGTTTAAGAGCTTTCTTCAAAATTTCAACAGCATATTATTGGTGTAGTTTCTTTTGCATATAAACATTCTTTTAATAAACATTCTCTACAGTAAATAAAAGTTACATAAACAAAATAAATGCAGTTATGAAGCTCAGAAGTAAAATAAAAAGAGCCCAATTAAAAACAATGTCATATAAAATTAGCCCAGGCTTATTCCAAATGTATACAGGGTAAGACAAAATAAGACATTGATATATTTTATATGACTTATTTAAAATATATATATATTATTTTAAAATGCATACGTAAATGTAATAATTCATTTAAGAAATTATTTGCAGTATGAGATTGTGCAACATTGACTAGGTTCATGCCTCATTGGTTGGTTCATGCCTTTTTTATTAACATTGACTTCAACTTTTTAAGAAAAAATTCTCAAATTTCCTAATTGAAAAGTTATTCAAAGATAATATTAAAAAAAAATTTAATTTATATTGGAAATGAAAAATTTCTTGAAAATTTTTATAGTAGAAACTTTAGTCTTGTTTGCAAATTGTGCTATCTTCTTTAAAGCGAAAGCCCATACTACAAATGATTTCTTAAATAAATTATTTAATTTACAATGCATTTTAAAATAACGTATTTCAAAAAAATAATAATAAAAATACATCAATGACAAGCGTGAATAAGATCAAACACATTTAATATTTACTAGATTAAATAACACTTAATAATTAGTATAGAATTTAATAAATGAACTATAAATCTAAAACAATTAAACTATCTCAAAACATTAAAATAAAATAATATTATACTAATATAACAATTTCTTAGTTTTCACCAAACGATATTTGCAAGATGATAACTAATTTCTAAGATTTTTTTTTATTTACAAATAATTCCCCTTTAAAATTGGATAATTTGGTTAGCATTCAATTAATAATACATTATTAATTGAATAATATATTATTAATTGAATAATATATTATTAATTGAATACTATTTGTAAAACGATAACTAATTTCTAATATTTTTTTTATTTACAAACAATTCTCCTTTAAAATAGGACGATGTGGCTAGTATTCAATTAATAATAATAGAAATTGTATTACTACTTGAATACCAATAACATTTTATGGTAAACAGTCATCTTTAAATGCTAAATAACCATTTTTATACTAATTAAAAACATTTTGTAGAATCTGAAAAATTTTGGCAGAAGTTTTAAGAAAAACTTTATAAAAAAAATAGTAATGTGTAAGTTGAGCGATTTTGAATAAATATTGCACTTTTTCCACAAACATAATCAAATGTTTTTGTAATTAAAAATCATTTTAAACAAATAAGACTTTTACAATTATACATATTTAATAAAAATAAATAACATTTATTCAGATCTTTAAATAAAAACATGCTATTTCAAATATAAATTTAAATAACTCACATTTCCTGCTATAAAAATATGCTGTGCATTGAAAATAATACATTAGAGTAAAAAAACTAAAATTTAAAAAAAAGTATATTTTTCAAATATACACATTTAATTATTAATGCAAGGCCAATAAAAATGAAAGAAATATCAGAAGCCATAATGTTTAAAAAATATTTTATATAAAATATTTGTATACCCTGTGCATTCGGTAACACATAACAAGCAATATATAGATATTTTTAAGATTTAATAATAAATTTTAAAATGATTTTTAGCAATGAGAAATAAAAAAGATTTTATAAAATGAATAGCTATTTTTTAACTTTGTGTTTTGCAAAGCTAAAGAATAGCTATTCTTTATTATCTTTTATATATTATTCTATATTATCTATATTATCTTTTCTATATTATCTATATTATCTTTTCTTTATTATTCTATATTATCTTTTATGTACTAAAATAAAAGATAATATAAAATAAAGTCAAAATTAATTGGTTTAGCTTTAAAACACATATGCACTTTATATAAAATTACAAATTTATCTATTGAAAAAATAATCTGAGATAATAAAACAAATGTAGTTGAAATATTAGCCTGAAGTCATGCGTAAAAATTATAACATCATAAAATATAAGTTTATATATTTTAAATTATGTGAGCTAATATGAGCAAACAAAAAGATTGATTTTTTTTTAGAACTAATATAAAATATGCTTTTGCAAGGCACAAATTTCATAGAATAGTATAAACTGTTAAGAAATTAAAAAAGAAATTATTGGAAGATTAATTTGTATGACGATTAATTATAAAGTCACAAAGCACAGAACATAAAACAAAATTAATCCTAGATTTTTTTTTTTTTTTTTGCTGGATCAAATTAAGCAGAATTGATTGCCAAACATGAAAAGTAGTGTGCACTATGTCATAAAGTTTTTATCAATTATAACAATCTGTCTGAGCATCAATTATAACAATAGTCAGAAATAAATCTTATAGATTCTTAATATAATTTTAAAGAGTAATTTTGTCATAACAAGTTATTAAAAAGAAAATCCTACAGTGTTACTAGATGATATACATCACAAAAACAACACAAAACACATGTAAATTTGCGATATTTCAGTATTTCATTTCTGTAAAATGTCTTATAATAATATATTTATAAAAGTCTGATTATTAATAATTAATAATTGTCTGAAAATTAATAATATAATAATTTATAATATAATTAATAATATATTACAAATAACTGAAGAATATGGCTTTAATTAAATACACTTAAAGTATATATATTTTTTTTTTATTATTTATTTTTTTAAATCAATGTTGCAGAAGATATGAATTTTAACAAACATATTTGGTTAAATTTTTAAAGCGTCAAAAAACTATTGGAGGAAAAGGGCTAGATAATAGTTACCTAAACCTGCACAAGCGTAAACATAATCTAACAAAAAGGTTCTTTAGTAAATATTCAAGAAGAACTAATTTTTTATTGAATATTTAAAAAAAATTCAAATAGAATCTGAGAATTTAGTGTGAGATAATTAATAATTTCAACAATTATCATAATATTCATTTAGGTAATATTTTCAGCACATAATTGTGCATATTACCATCAGATCAGAGATTTCTACATACATAACCATCAGATCCAAGGTTTATATCTTTTTTAAACCTGAAAGATTAAACTTGAATCGAAATGGAGCATAATTTTCTGATTCAGACTCCTTCAAAACTGTCTTCGACTACACTTCACAGCATAGCTTTTTAGAGTAAACTATTATTGACTTGAATGAGTTTTTAGTAAGAGAAATCATTACAAACAGAAATAAATTTAATACTATAGTTACACATTCTTAATAAGCATTCAGTTTTATGGTTATACTATGAAAAATTGAAAGTTAAGAATTAAAACTCACTTAAATATCACTTTAATGCTTAAAGTGGCAATATCAAATGAAAGTTAAAGATTTTTAAAAAATAACAATAATAAACTTTAACTAGCATAAATCGTACCATATCTTTACATATTAATTATTAAACTTAATACTAAGTATAAATGCGACTAATTTAAATCACATAACAGTAATAAAAGTTTTCAGAAAACCCAAAAAAATTTTCAAAAGATAAAAAAAAAAATCACAATAACAAAATATTTACAGCTAGAGCAAATTTAAGTGTAGAGTGGTATAAATTGCCCTATCTCATTACAATTTTATGATTAAATTTAACTCTAAGAATAGATGTTACAATTAAATACATCTAATTTAAATTACATAATAATATCAAAATTTTCACAAAATACAACATTTTTTTAGAAAGCTAAAAAAAAACTTGCAATTATATTTAAATGTAGCTTCAAAAAAATTGAATATTTGAAGCTTCAATATATAATACATAATTTTATTATTATGTATTAATTATGTATAATAATAAATATCGATCCTAATAATTTTAATACTTAATTTTATTATTACCAATAAAAAAACTTGGACAATTTTGAAATTAAATAATAATTATTAAATTGTAAACTAAATATATATAATATTTATATTACTATGAATTTTATTATAAGAAATAATAAAATATATATTTATATAGATTTTATTATTATAAATTTGGACTTTCTGGGGTGAATCTTACGTCAGATCCCCTTTTTGTTCATAAGTCAGATCAATAGCATAAGCAACAACAACAACATAATTATACAGTTATACAAAATTACTATATGTACAAGAGAACTAAGGTGAATAAGTTATAATTTTCTTTGCATTTACAAAGCATATAACATTTATATAAGCATTAGTGCTCTAAAATAGATCATACATACTAACATCAATTAAATACAAGACATTTTTTGTTGGGAAAATAATTGAAATGATAATTCATGTAACTATTAACGAATTAAGATGCATTAATTTCCTTTATGTAGTTTTTAAAACAGTTGTATATTTCATTACCACATTTTTGATCTAATTACAATTTAAAAAAAAAAAAAAAAACATTGGCACAATGTAAATCTAACACAACAAATAACTGCATAGTTTACACAAAACCGTTAAGACAAATAGCACAGTGAAACTTATTTAGAGTATTCATAATCAAAAATTATGAAGTCTAGAATAAGATAGAGTAAGGTAATTACGAATAGAATCACAAAATTTGAAATTTCATTTATATCACATATTTATTAAAGTGAAATATTTTCACTCATATTTAGTTTGAAAATGACTTTTTTGTTCAATAACACATTTTGATTTAATCAAATAAACTTGAAAAATTGGCACAGTAATAATACAATAAAATATACTGCATCAAATAATATTTAAATACAGTATAAGAAAGTAAAATTTATATAATACAGACAGTGTAAGAAAATAATATTTAAATACAAAGTTACATAGCACTTTAAGTCAAGAATTATAAAGTACTCAAAGACTAGAAAGTACTAAAAGTCACAAACATAAAGCAAATCAAAAACGCTAAGCATTTAAAGTCAAAAACAATATATTTAAATTCAAGATACTAATGTCTCACAATACAAAATGCACATATAGACAACAGTAGGGAAAAAAAATCTAAAAATCAAAAACATTTTATTACCTCACACCAGAATTTTCAAGTAATTTGATTACTTCTTGATAAAAATCAGTAGATGAAAAATTGGCGCCTTTTGATATAAGATTTTCTAAAGCATTTGCTTCATAAACAGCTTTGTTATATAGCTCTGGCCACCAACCATCAGTGTCTGACTTTAGTGTAAAAGGTGGAACTGGCTTTGGGCAGCCGTAATGTTCAAAAGTGGCTTCATAACTTAAAGGAGGCAAACCATTTTGCTCACGTTGGAAATTTGCAGCAACTCTTTTGCAAACCATACATTCAAAACAATCAATAAAGTTTTTCCTTTTTGGATCATTATTTATACCCCACTCTCTAAGAGACAGAGCTTCAGTGAGTTTGTTATTTGACACTAATCCTTTTGTCTTATGTTCAAGATGTTGATCATAAGCAGTATCATTTTTGTGCAAAAACAACAAATAATTCGCCAGCTCTTTGGGATTTTTAAAATTCTTCAGTAATATTGCAGAATTTGGATTAGGTAGCCAATCCTAAAAATATTAATAAACTTATTAACTACAAAGAAAGGATTTTAAAATTGTGTGTTTTTATATATAAGATAACACATTTAGAGGCGTGGTGGTTCGAGGGATGCCTCCCAATGAAGTGAAAAAGGTTCAAATCCCAGCTGTGGCTGGTATAAGATATTCAACGCAAAAGGTAATTGAATCCACAATATTCATCATGGGAAACCATATAATGTTAAAACTTTAAAGATTATACTCTGTTGCAAGTTATAAAAAACCATTATCCTTATGGAGAGGCTGTTTGCATCTAATGGAGGCTAAGCTCCCTGCGCGAACGTATATCGATATCGCCAACTCTTGAAATGACATTGGACAGCTTTACTTTTGCTTGCTTTCTTAAATTGGGTGAAATGAGGAAAATAAAACTTAGTGCAAAAAAATAACTGTAATGTTAATAAGAATTAATAAAATTATATCTAAAAATCATAATAGCATATCCACATTTTTAGTGGTCTAATCAAATCTAATGCTCTTGCAATGTCATATAATTGTTTATTTTTCAAGAACAAATATTCCCTTTAATTATTGAAATATGTTGCCAAGTGTAGGATTAGAGTAAGACAACGAAACTATTTGTTTTTTTAATAATTCCATCAGGGCTCAAAAAAACTCAGAAATTTTACCCATCCCCGAGGACGGCTTGTCCAACAATGTACCCGTCCTCCTTTGAAACTAACCCGTAGCTTCTAAATAAATAAAAATATAATTTTCTCCTATTTATTACAAACATTTATATAAATTGCACAATGAATTGGTAGTTACTAGGATTACATTATACAGTAATAAAAGAAATACTAGGTTACTAATAGTAACCTAGGTAGTATTTCTTTTATGAAATAATTAATTTCCTTCATGAAATAATTTAAATGACAAAGGTCAAGTTATCTGGAATGTCAATTCATCCGAGGGTACTGCGTTTTTGAAATGAATCAAATATGATGTTTGCCAGTTCCACAATCACACCAATGATTCACAGAGGTTTCTGCACAGAAATCTAAAAGTCGTTTTCCATTTAGGTAGATGTTCATAATTGCGTTTAACGCTTCTTGTTTAAAACCAGTACGTAATGTGTTTTTTTGTAAGTTCATTGCTGAAAAGTCCCTTTCTACCGCTGCAGTACTCCCAGACAGAGAAAACATCAATTCCACCATGCTCAGTATGTTGCTGTGTTTCTAGATTAGAGGGTCATTTTAGAAGTGAGGCGTAGACTCTTGTAAGATAACAAAAAATGAAAATCTATCACCAACATTAAAGCGAAAATGGCCCGGATGTCGAATTCGCGAAATCCGTTGTCCGCGGGGAATTTTTGATCGCCGAGGATGGGCGATTTTTCAAGCCCTGAATTCCATTATATATATCGTTAAAGATAGCACGAATTAAACTACTGTCTGGGGAATTTATCTTTTAAAATATATTACATTGTTATGAAAGCATATTTATATAATTTGATAACTAAATAAAATGGAACTATAAGCAGTAGCGGATGATTATTTAAATCCTATACCGCAATGGTCTTTTCTTAACTTGAAACAATATTCATTTATTAATCCACATTTAAAATATATCTGCAACCAATTTCAACATTTTCTAAAAATAAAAAAAAAAACAATCTTGTTCTATTCTAAAATAAGTTAAAATATATTTTACAATTCACGTTTTTGATATTGATGCGTTGCATGCTTCATTACTTAATAAATTGACGATATTACATCTCAATTTTTAACTACCACATTTCGTTATAAAATTCAGATTTTTAACTTTAATAAACTCAAATAAAATTAAAACTAGTAATAAAAAAGCGAATTTAAAGATAAACATGTGTTAGCTTACGCAACCAAACACAGAAAAAATAATACATAAAGTTTTTACATTTATTTAAGTAGTAAATAAATTACTTCAATCACCGGAGATCCAAAATAAATAGGAACTGATCCAACTGTCAGAGGTCGCCATAATTTCTCCGTAATATAATCATCACAAACAGCATTTTCAATTGCAAGATGGAACTTATACTGAGCCAATATTTCAAACAAGTCGTCTGAAACCATAGATGTCATAGAATCTGAAAGACTAAAATAAATAATTTTGAATAACTAATTAAAAATATAAGAAACAAAAAAAACATTTAAATACATATTATTTGAATAAAAGCTATTAAAAAAATTAACGTTGTTCGTTTTGAAAATTACTGCAAAAATTACATAATTTACGTTATTTAAAATATTCAGATGCATAATTTGAACAGCTTTCATTACCAAACTGCGCTGCCAGGGAGCGAAGAAGGTTTGTCTTATCAAGGCATTAACAAGGGCAAATACTTAATAATGATACATTGAAACCTCTCTGGCGCAACCACTCTAGGCTCCACAGTAAAACGGTCGTTAATAGAGGTTGGTCGATCTTAGAGGTTACCTCCATTGACTTCAAAATGTTATTGAAGGTACATGATTTTTCGCTAACTATTTTAATTTTAGTCAGTGCCATTTTCTTGGTGCGGAAATGCCTCTTCTGTTGGCGTCATGAAAACCAGATCAATGGATAAAATTTAGCGTCAATAGAAATGATCTCTACTGATATAATTTTGTGTAAAAACAAATTTTACAATTGTGAATGATAGAACTACATAAAATAAAGAAGAATTATGTTTGCATTTACTTTTATATCATAAAAATTAGTTAGCTTTAAAAGATTAGAAGAGTTTTGTTTGTTTGAGAGGCTTAGTTTTTTCTAAAATAATTTTTTTAACTTGACTTTCAACTCTAAAAATAAATCATTGACTGCATCATCTTTAGTGCACTTTGACTGCAACATGAGGGAACAATGAGGGCAACATAAGGGGTCATCAAAAAGAAATCTCTAAATAGAAACCTCATACAAATATTTTGAACACATTTGAATCTACTTATTTGTTCTGTTAATATTTTTTATTTTGATATTTTTTTCGTGTTTCCTTATTTGACCTTTTCTGCATTTGGTTCAGAGATTTTGCCAAGTCACTAGAAGAGGTTTTAATGGTCTCTCTTAAAGGTCTATGGAAAAAATTCTGTGTCTACCAAAAATGGTCGCAACATAGAGGCAGTCTTTCCTACAGATTTCACTGTAAAAATACTCTACAGTTTAGCAACATTTAGCAAATAAATAATTTTTGTTATATTAGATTTTCCTTTTCTTTAATTTAATATTTATTTGTAAATAATCAAATAATAATTTTTAAATGCTTTCTTCAATTTTAATAAAATCGTTACAGAAGTTAAGATAACATCGTTAAAAATTTAATAATAGTTTACCTTACTTCCTCAACAAAAGGAAGCATAGAATATGCAATAAGATCATTTTACATCAACAAAATTCACATATTTTATTGCAGATTGGATACAAATGCAATAAAATAATATTATAACAGCCAAACTTATAAAAAGAATGTATTGAGTGATACTTAAAAACACTCAATTTTTCAGGTTCAGATGCAGGAATTTATTTTATTGCATCATTAAATAAGACTTTTAAATTAGGAAAAATAGTTTTTGATATAGCTTCCTAAATTTTCTATGCTAAATTTCCAAACTGCTGTTTTTTCCTTCGAAATCAATAAAATATCGCTTAAAATTTTTCTTTTATTAAGCTCTCCAATTATGAGTTAATAAGTGATAAAAAATTCATTTTTAAAAAGAAACAGTTCTTTTATCAGAGGCCTGTAGGGTTGTAAAAGAGTTAAAGGCATTGTTTGCGTAATTTAATACCAGAGTTTCACTAAAGGTGTAACTGATAGCAATCATAACAATTTGATAGTGAAATGCAGGTAAGTCTTGATATTTCTTAACATAAACATGAGAATATTCAGAAGTTGCTATACGGCAATTTCTCATGATTGAAAAAAGAAAAATATGCAGTTAAATGGAGCAATATGAAATTTTCGCTTTGTAAGAGAGAAAAACATATTACATTAATAAAATGGAAAAATTTTAGAAGTACCATAAAGCTACTACTGTTTTACATTATATTATAACCAACATTGAAAAGCTGCTCCAATTATGAATTTACGACTATCAATATTCAACTCCATAGCCTTGTAATTTTAAACCAAAGCCAGAAGACAAGAGAACTCCTGGATCAAGCATTGGGAGAAACTGGCTTTCATGGAGGATTTTTTTAATGGAACTCACCCTAATTTGAATTACGTAGAGATTTAAACACAAAAAAGAGGATTCAAACCCATGCTCCATCTACCACTGAGGATGTTTTACATCACCACGGTGGTCGGTGCAAAGAGTAAAATTCGTATCAACCAGCCATTGCTTGGATTTGAACCTGGGAACCTCAATTGGAGGCAAATGCTGCCTCCCCTAAGCCACTGCAGCTCCAAGTATCTACTGTTCTATCTATATCTATCTATCTGTATACATTTGTAAAAAAAGTAAAGCAGTTTCCTATCAGCTCCAAGAGGGTCATTGAATAAGGCTTCACAATTTCATGACTAATGACATAATGATGGCAATGTTATCTGTGTTTCACACCAACCACTTTTACTTAACAGAAAAGTTGGTACCCATTGATTTGGAGCCAGGTAGGCTTTAAGCTACTGCATAGGAGCCTACTGTTAATGAGACAAAAAAGAAATCTCTCCTTCAAATGCTTGGATTTTTACAAAAACATTTTTAAAAAAAGTGATCATGTTCATAATCTTAGAGTTTGTTTCGTAAAATAAAACAATTGTTGACTCAAAAGTACAGTTTTAAAGATTTTTTTAAAGGACGGCCAATATTGTTTCCTTCCTCACAAAATTTTTTTTTAATCACTGAAATCCTTTTGAATTTAAACTCTTCAATTAATAAACTAGAAAGTTCACCAAACTTACTGAGGAGGCAGGTGTTTATTTTGTAAACACTTCCCATAGGAATCTACAGGAATATATTTAGCCAACTCTTCTACATATGAATCTCGTTCAGATGGTGTATTGCAATCAGAGTGCAAATAAACAATGGGAGCTAAATGCTTTGCTTTCTCATTCTTTGCTGCAGTTGGAATGAAGTATTTCTTAGACACAATTGAATCTATACCTTCCAAATATTGAAACGTAAGAGGAAGATCAGAATGTCTACGAAATGTTGCTGTATGGTTGAACATTCTCAGAACCTATAAAAAAATATATTGTTACATTAATTCCAAATATAAATGATCTTTTTACTACAGTAAGTCCGTTATAACTACAAATCACAATAGCAGATGGGATTGTCCTTATAGGGAGTTTGTCATTATACCTACCGTATATCCCTGTGTACAGGTCTAAGTACAAGTCTACTCCCTATTTTTGGTAACGAAACAACACATTTCTGGATGTAGAGAGAGAAAGTCAACTACTGTCAATAAGTCGATTATTATTCATAGAGAACATCCTGAATCAAATTATACTAAATGCATAGTAAAATGTGGGCTTAAATGTTAAAGTACAATCTTTTAAAAAGTGTGAAATTTTGAATTCTTTAAATTCTGTTTTGAATTCCGTTGAAGACGATTTTTTCTGAGAGGAGATAGGCTGATCAAGTAGAATGTAGAATTCATTACAGAGTAGGATCCGTATGACAACACTGCTAACTAATGTTATTGAATCCGATACAAAGGATAATCTGGAATCTTTAAATTTGTAGCTTTATGGTATGTCTTAAACGTTTTCATTACAATATATTTTTTTAAATATATGTACTCTTTAATAAATTATCCTAACTTTTATTCTCCTTAATTTTTTGAGCATAATTTAAAATATTATTTCGAACAGAAATCGTTATTTGTAAAGAAAATAGAATTGAAGAAAATTCAAAATTATTTGTATATAATATATTAAAAATAGTTTTTGAAAAGAGTAATTGACACAGAATAATTCATATCTATCTCAATGTTTATAATGGGTAGATATTTCACAATTATCAATAGTCCGCTTCCATGTAAAAGTCGATACTCTGTTTTTTGCAAAATTATATATTATACATACATATTATATACAATATATATTATACATACATATTATACAAACATTGTTATACATACACTTATATATATTAGATAAACACACATATTTAATATTAAAATAGCAGAAAAAAAAGACTAAAAAGTAAAATAAAGAGTGGGTAGCAAAAAAATGGGCATTCTGTTGACCACAGGTTTCTACAAGTTGTGTGTAGCATGGCAGGTTTCCTAACGATAGCAGGAAAATATTTTCTTGTATAAAGAAGAAAATAACTTAGCAGGTTGTAGAACACACATTTGCTTAATAAGCATGAAAGATTAAGATTATAAGAAATAAAGTAAACTGATGTTCATTTTCGCTGTATTGTTAATAAAAATTCATTTTTCTATTTTCTGCATAATACTGCTTCCGTAAATGGCAGAAAAATGTGTTTCCCATAAAACAAATTTGTCAAAATAGCAAAAGTTCAGTAGTTAAGTCATCATAAACCTACAATTTTTATATCTTTAATATTAGCATTTTGACAGAAACTTAGTAAATTGTCAGACCTCATTTATTAATATATAATTTATTAGACAGATAAATCCTCTGTAATTCACTTTGAGATTAGGATTGAGTGCATAAAAATTAGTTTAGATACCTCTAACATGTAAATGTACTTATGAATATAAAATACTTCATTTAAACATGATTCACTTCTCTTGTTTTTAAATGCTGAATAGTGTTACTGTTTATGTGTAACACATTCTCCATTATGATGTTCAGATTATAAGTTATTTTATTGTAAATTCCCAACTGATTATTTATTTCCTCGCTATGCTTGCATAGTTCAAAATGATAGATAACTCCTGCCTGTTCATTACCTATGAGCTGCAACTCACCGAGTCAGTGCTTGTTCTAATTAGTGTTTACTATTCTTCTTGCAAGAGTAACTTCCTAAGATGAAGTAGATCACAATATATACATTGCATTATGTAAAACTTTATCAAAATTCCTTTCTAATTATTGCTTTAATTTATTTTTTTTATAACTGTAGTTGAACAGTGGAACAGCGTTACCTCACAAAATATTAACTTACTTTTTCCATTGACAACAGAAAATTATTTTTAGGTGATTCTTCATGTAGCAACGCCCAATCATAATGTGCGTCTCTAGGGAGTGGCAAATCAGTTGGTTTAAAATCACTTCCATAGAAAAGAAATCCCTGAAACAAACACATAAGGAATTTTTTTTTTTTAATTAAAAAAGGTTTCTAAAAATGCCAAATATAAAATGAAAAAAAAATTTATGTTAACACCTTATGTATTATGCACTTAGCTAACTATGAAATATGCTGTTATGCTACTTGACTAAATATGGTACTTGGCTTTGCACAAAATGTTTACCGTTTTTCTATTGAAAAACATGGAGAAAACAATTTTTTTAAAGTAACCACATTTGATCAAATTCAATGAAAAAACTAATTAAGTTCAGGCAGTAGATTATATTATAATGATGAAACAAGCCATTTTAAAACCTATTTTCTCAGCAACTAATGAACTTTCTCTATTCCTGAACCTTCCTTTATAATGGCTTTTTTGATGCTAGAAAAAATAAAACCAACAACCTTATCTTAAATAATTTAAAAAATTCTGATTCAACAATTTTTCATAGAAGTAGTGCAACAATTATCAGTCAATAAAAGTAACATAACATGTGTGATTTGATTTCTTTATCTACAGATTTATAATTAGAATATTTGTGTAGATAAATTCTGAGGAACATCAATTTCAACAAAAAAATTGACATCTAGCAACAAATAAATAAAATTAAATAAACAATAAATACATCTTCAAACCACAATTGTAGATTAATAGCTTATATAAGGAATGAATAAATAATCTGCAAATGCAAGGTTAAAAGTCTCTTTAATTGTCTTAGAGAAAAAAAGCGTTATAATGACTCGTTTTAATGTTAAAAAAATAAGTCTGACAGCCTCACCTTGAAACATTTCAACAATTCTGGTCTTGATTTTTAAGAATTGAACCTTAGTTAAAGGATCATAAAAGAGTGTGTAAATTTTTAATTAAATGAGAGCCTATGTCTTATAATAATTCAAGTTGTGACCAAAATAATTGTACATAACTCTCAATCTGGATTTAATTTTCTATAAAATAATTTAACTAACACACATATAAAACAAAACATAAATAAATAGGAAAGTTTCAAAGTACAGTTCACTCCCGATTATCCGGGTTAATCACCGGGACAGGTCGCACGGACAATCGAAAAACACGGATAATCCAAAAACTCCTTTTTATTAAAGAAAAAATGAACATCAGTACAAAAAATATAAAAATTATTTACATTTGCATGCTGTATAACATCAAATTAGGAATTTAACATTTACTGCTTAAAAAAATGTGTAATGCGTCTTTGCTTCCGCTGTCTGTTCATCTCTTGCCGTATATTGACACATATTTTACATACATTAGTAACATCACCGTAATCAAATCCTTGTTCTCCCATATAATCAATTTAATAAAGTTTCCACAGATTGTAGAGCAACAGAATCAGGAATTGCATTTCCCTCATTTATTACATCTTCTGCATCAGTACTATCATCACTATTTGATTTAACAACACAGTTAGTAACAATTTCCTCATCTGTTAAATACTGGTCAAGCTCACATACATCACTTTGAAACGAATCTTTTAAATTTTCCTCATCAAGAATTTCTAAACCTACGATTACTTTTCTTTGTTCAAAAATACTGTTATCAAATTCTTCAATATAAGAAGATCAAGCGGTATGATCTTTCTCCACGATCGTGATAACGTAGACGATTTTACCTTTGACCATGCTGCTAATATACTGCATCCAATAATAAATATTGCTTTCAAAAAGTGTTATAACTTCATAACTTACTATTGCAGCGATTATTATCAATAAAAAACATTAGATTCATATTCTGTTAATAAATGGCGAGACTGATTTGACAAGATTTCTATTCATATCAACATATATTTTACATGCATGATAATCTTGCAAATGTTTCTCTTTAAAAAAAAATTTTGTGACTCCGAAAGGAGCACGGATAAACCGCAAACCGGATAATCCGCGCATGAATAATCGAGAGTGTACTGTATTTCACTTCAGGAAAGGAATCAGAAAAGAACTTGAAAGGTTTTTAATTTTTCATAAAACAATTTAACAAACACACATATAAAATAAAACATAAATCAATAGGAAAGCTTCAAAACATTTTACTTCAAAAAAGGGATTAGAAAAGAACTTAAAAGTTTTTAATTGAGAACAATTTATATCTTCTAATAGAGGGTCATAAAGCAAATCACAAAATGATCCAATACAACTGTCCATATGAAAAACAAATTACTGAAATGCAGTTTAACTAATACACAATTATAAAATTATATGTAAGATATACTTAAATATGAATAGTTAAAATTTCTTTTTTACTTTGGTAAGAGGATCAGAAGAAAACTTTCTCTGGTCTGTAAAGTAGCACCAGTGTTTGCCACATTTTTTGTAAGAACCACTGTCACCAGTAAAAGGTGTCCACCAAATTAAGATAGGATAACTTTTGCTGCTTGGTGGGTCTAATAAAAAAAATGAAATATCAACATTTTTTCAGCAGTTCAAAAATTATGCATTGTTAAAAATTTGTAAAAGCAATTTGAAAAAATCAAATTAACCTAAAACATTTTCAAATTGATTTGTGAATTATCTTAACAAAAAAATAAATAAATATTCAACTTTAAACAATGTAAAAATAAAAAATTTGTAAAATAGAATAACAGCTTTCAAGAGAACTGTTGCAGCTCATTGCATAAATGAGTCATTTGTGCACTTTTTGTGTCTATTTAGCCAGCACCCTTAATGTTAAGTCATGAAAATCACATAAAATGTTAATATGACGTAAAATGTCGATAAAATGCCGTACTTAAGAGGAAGATAACAGAGACAATTGTTCTGAGGCCTAGGACAGTCGACGGAGCAGTGTAAATTTATTTCAAGTCAAATACTTTTTAATTTGTTTTTAATTGCAGATGAGGGTTTATTATATGTATGTATGTTAACCTTCCCTTTTTATTATGCATTAAAAAATATATAAACCAACAAACTTTTATTTTTTGGTTTAAAAAAAAAGCAAAAAAGTCATTAAATTGAAAAAGCATTTAAAATATAAAAATTAGATTTTTTGAGTTTTAAGGAAAGAGCCCTAAACAAAATTTGTTCCAGAAACCATAAATCCTGCGAAAAGTTTTGCTAATTTTTTAAAATTTGGAAAGTTACTCCAACACTCCATTGTTAGGAGAAAAAATATTCAAAAAGTGAGAATTTCTCATTAATTTTTAATAATCTAGAAAGATATTCTGTCAAATTGGGCATTTTTAGAAACATTTGATAAATAATTTTTTACATATTTAAGCTAATTTGTTTAGTTAGCAAATTCTTTTCAGCAAGATAGTAAACTTAGTCTAAAATTAAAGCTTTGCTCGATATTTAAGTCAGTCAATCTGTTGTTTTTTTCCCACATACCAAAAGAGCTCAAAGCTTATCCTTAATAACAAGACATTATTTTGATTGTCAGTACAATTTCATTTTAATGAGAAAAAAACTAAAAATTGGTATATGTTTATAAATATCCCATTAAGTCAAGTTCCAATTTTATTATATTTTCAAAAATTGGCAGACAATATGAATGTATTAATTTCCTTATCTTGTCTAATTTGTGGTGTCTTTTGTTAGGCAGCAAAAAAAATATGTTATTTTTCTAAAAAATCTCCGTACACTAAACTTGAAAGTACAGAAACTATATTAATAAATAAATAAACAGTGCCAATAAAAAATAAACTTTAACAAATATTAACAAGACATTTAAAAAATAATACAGTAACAATAAAAGTGAAAGAAAAAAAAGAAAATATATTTTTTAGCATAACCTTTCGAAAGCAAGATCATACTCTTTCAATTTATTATATAAAGACAATTTTTGAACAAACATGATCACCTTGTTGAATATGAAAAGTTAAATCTTCCTCTGTTTCTTCAACCTAAATAAATAAATATATATATCAGTTTATTAAGCTTCAAATAAAAAAGAAAATATAATCATCAAATTTAAACAAAATATTCTTTCAATAATCGCTTTATAGAAACACTTTATGTGCTGGAAAATATCGTAATTTTTAATTTTCCAATAAATCATCAAATTACTTATATTTCACAATATATTGCAATATATTTTAAGTACAAAACCTTTTTTAAAATTGGATACTTTTTTTTTTACTCGAATGACTGGAAAAAAACTTTTTTTTTTCTAAATACTATTACTAATCGTAATTTTACGAATAACAGAGTAATTATAAAAATTTAACAACATATAAACTAAGACACATAAAAAATATTGTTTTTGTGTACACATATTAACAAACACACACAAAGAAATGAGAATGAAAAGAGTTTTAAGGAATGTAAGACTCTCTCAAGAAATGATCCATTTGTTACCACAAACTGAAGTTAGGAAACATATGTTCAACTTCATATCATAGTGTATCAGCAGTGTCATTATTCTGTTATGCAATGAACATCTAGGTGACTTAAATTCAGCAAAATTTTTGATTAATACACTGAACGATACATTTTTAATGCTGATGTCACAGCAAGGTAAATGGCACAGCATGGATTAAATTCAGATCCCAGCATCAAGGCTGTTGGAAAGTGACAACTGATAACTAATAACAATACCAGCTGATAATTATACTTAAAAAAGCACTTTTTTTCACTTAGATTTTGAACTAGATTTTATGTCATATCTTTTCCTGTTTTCCCTTCAAATTTCAGGTGATTCTTACAAGTGGCTCTTTTATTTACAAATCTTTGGAAATCTAACTTTAATAGTCCTGTGCATTAGCATAATATCCCCAAACAATAGCTAAATTCCCCTCTAAAATATTTTCCAAAAACTCCCAAAATTTAGAATAAAAAGTTGTTGGCTTATTCAACAAGTTAAAGAAATGAAAAAAAGTTACTATAAATAAATGGATTCATACTTATAATTTAGTATATAAATTATACTTTACTACTTAAGATATTTTGAGTACATTAATCAGGTATTATTAGTTTACTTACTGAATATATAATAAGTTAAAAATGATTAATTTCTACAACAAATGATGTTCGATTGCTGTTATGATTATTAATTAAGACATACGAGAATTCTCTGAATCATATTCTTAGCACACAAAATAAATAAGAATTATAGATTAGTTCAGTAATTGAGTATAAAATAACAGATAATAATAATACAATAACTGAAATAACAATACAAACAAAATTTCATTATCTTAATACAAACCAAATTTAGAATAATGATGCCCACATAAAATACCACAACAATACCAACGATTAAAATTGCTATTTTATAGCGAAATCTTCGTTTAGGATATCGAAATATCATGGCAAAAATTATGCAGCGATTTCTAGTACTACAGTACAAAATTTCAAATTATGTTTACAAAAGAAGTATTATTATTCTTCCAGAAGAAGCCTAATAGAAATTGCAGAAACTTCTTAAAATAATCTGAGTAAAATTTTGTGAAATTAATTTCATTGTTTACAAATTACATATTCCTACAGGCAAAACGAAACTTAACTTTCATATTGATTACTTTAGACCCAGCAATTACGCTTTGAACACACTCACTTTCTGGAAGCGATTGAATGCACTGAATGGAAGAAACAAAATTTGTTACAAACATGTATCTGGCAATTATAAACTTTGTTTATATATTTGTCTATTTACAATCAGAATGACATGTGAGGCGTACTTAGTTTATTTATTAGACTTAAATCAAAACGTTGTTCATTAGCCATGTAATTTTTTGTTAAGATGGAGCATAATAAGTCTCGAACATGCCTGAGAACATTAGAATTTATCGAGGTTACGACTCGGATTTGGGGTGTACTTACAATGATTGGTATGATACAATAGAGACCTTCAGTACTTATTTCAATTAAGTACAACAGTAATAATGTCCTAATATACAACTATAAATGCTGTTTTGATAAATAAAAGAAAGTTTATAAATAAAGCTCGAAATTTATTTATTAGAATAAAGTTCTGTTGTAAATTGCAGCAAACAAATAAATTTCACGGACGCCTTTTTAAATGTTATTCAAATGAACTACTAGTTCTACAGATGAATAAACAGATACAAATTAAAACTTAATAAACATTTATTAATTCTAAAGCAATCTCAATTTAGTGATATTTTCAAAACCTAACTAATTCGAACACTAAATAATCAACACAAAACATTTCAAGAAGGTTGCCAACATAAAAACCAAAGTTAAAGAATAAAAATTAAATGAAAGCAGCAGCAGTCAGAGTCACGTGACACCAACTATAAAAACATATTACAATCTCTAACAATAAAGTTCTGTATATAAGAAAACACTTTAATAATGAATTTTTTTTTCTCTTAGTCATGTGGGGTGTTGGAGCAGACCTAACAATACACAAGCATGGCCTTGGAGCTTATACATTGTAAGGAGATCTTTCTTTTCTTAATTTTTTCTTAAATATTACCCTAATGTATGTTCTTTGCAATATTTTATTTTCGTATATGTCTAATATATTTGAAATAAATTGGATATTTTAATCGTCCACGAAGTTTAAGAATGCCATCTAAAATTATACTCAGCTGATAGAGTTTGCTGTTCTTATGGAGAGGGATTTTCTTTTTTAGATGATCAAGCTCTTGGTAAAATTCTGATTCTTGAGTGAACTTAAAAATATTTATAGAAATATCAATTTCTTCCAATGACTTTTTGGAAGAAGCATGGAATGCTTTTGATTATGTTTAGTTATTGGACATTTGAATTGTCCTTTCACGGTCTTGATTTCAATAACCCTTACCACACCATTGCTCGTGAAAATGTTTTTGCTATTCTACCTAAAATCCATTTCATAGGTAGAAGATTTTGAGCCTTTGAAAGAACCAAATCGTTCACTTTAGAGTTATTATTATGTTTATTCCATTTACCCTGCTGCTGGAAAGGCTGAAATAGTCTTTTTTCCACCTAGACCAAAATTGATTACGGAGCAATCGAACAGGTATCATCTATTTTCATTGAAACTGAACATAATTGCATCTATCAGAGAAAAGTTTTATAAATTGAACATACTAACTTTAGCTTTTTTGCCTCAAGAGTTAAAATTTAATGATTTGAACCAATAATTCCGATTTTTTCTAGTTTTTGACTTGATCACTTTTGGCACAATATAACTAAATATTCTTTGCTTATTGATGCAAAGTAATGTAATTTTCAGTGTAAAAATAAGCAGCAACTAAAGCCTTTTTTTTCTAATTAAGAGGTATTGATTAATAAGCTTTATATAAATGTTTTTTTTACTTTAAAATTTATTTATAATATATATATATAACTCTTAAAATAGCTACTACATTGAGCGGTGTAGAAAATTCTCAAAGCATTACAATAGTGTTTTCAAAATGTTTATCAAAAGTAACATTTGTATATTGTTAAAATTATTGATAATAATTTTTCTATAATAGCAAAAGAGAAAAATTCATTTGATTTTCTGATGCTTGTTAAAATAATAGAAATCAAAATATATTTAAATAGTAATATTATTAAACTAATTTCAAAGTCCTGCTCATAAATATAGAGAATTCAAAATAATGAACGAACAAATTGATATAGAAAATTATTTGTTTTATATTTAATATAACAGAAAATATTTTTTCTTCTTTTTTTCGGCAATATTTTTTTTTTTCTCTTTTTGCAAGGAAAAATTTTGTGAATCAAAAAATTTTTTACAATAAAAATTTTTTGGCATTTTTTTTTTTTGTAATCTGTAAGCAAAAATTCACATGGAACTTCTTGAATTTCCAGCCTTTTTCTCACAATTAGACAAATTCTGCACCCCTGTCTACTTATAGATATTATATTAAAGGTTCTCAACAGTTAAAATTATGTTTGTTGTCTTACTGTATTTTTCACTATTTACTCTATTTTTCATAAATTGTGCAAGGGCAGTTTTGATATTTCAGATACGTATTTTAATAATTTATTAATATCTATGACCAAATTCTGGGCTTATTTTCTTATTCTTTTGTTTAGGTTCATTGCAGTAATTCTTACAATCTTTGAAACATCATTTGCTATCAACATTTATTTAGATTTCATCATAAAGTAAGTTTTTTTAATAGTTTTAAGAAGTAGAGAATAAGGTTATTGTAATTAGTTTTGCGATTAAGAATTAAAGGGTAATCTGATGTGAAAATCTGATTTTTATTTAAAAATTGTGATATTACTTTTGATTTAGAAAAACATAATTTTTAATTGTTTCTTTAGGGATGAGAAAAATATATGCTTCCAATGCTGGCAACTTATTCAAGAAATGGATATTTGGAAGAAGACAGCTTTGTATCTTTTCTTGTCTATCTTTTGCTTTATCAAACCACATGAAATGTGGTTGGCAGCTATAGGGGGTATAATATTTTTGTTTTTTTTTTAATATTTTATGCTCAGTAATGCTTTGCTAAATGGTTTACTTTGCTTTTTTCACTTCATTCTAGGTTGTATGCTACTAGTTTTGGCTTTATTATATCTAGTATTTTCATATAAAACATATTTAGCTGAACAGGAAACATTAATGTTTGATAAGGAATGCTCATATGATAGGTGAGTCGTAAATCTGGTCGTAAGTTTTTGTCCTTAGTATTTGATTGATTTTTAAAAAAAATTTAGTATTGATCGCAAAATAATTTTCTGCAATTTGTTTTCATGAGGAAGGGAAAAATTGCTTTTGAATAAATCTTTTTTCAACTTCAAACTACTTCTTTAACTGATTAACCTAATTTAATGTGTGTCATATTCAATATCATCTAATGTTCAACGATTTTTAAAGGACTGTGGTGCATTATTTCTGCTCTTGTTTTTTTATGAAGTATAGTGTGGCTTTCAGGAGAACTCTTTCAGACTCCCGTCTCATGTCGTGGCGGATACTATGGTTACGAAGAAAGGTCACTTCGTATAGGGGTGTGGGGAGAATAGTTTTGTCTCAATCTTAGCTTAGGTCGTTGTGAGTAAACCAATCGACACCTTCTTACCTCCACTTCACTCCTATTAGAAATGTGCTCTCACATGTAACCATAGCAGCACACAGCCCCAGACTTTCAGTCTGGAGGAGTTCTCCTCAAAACTGCACTATATATATATTTTTTCAAGCTTTTTGTATTTTGATTTAAAGATGATTGCGTTGTGGATTTAACATTGACACAGGGTAGCCACAGAACAAAGAACTTTATAGATCTGGAAAATCAGGGAATTTAATTAAAATACCCAAAAAGTTTGAGATACCCAATATTCCGATATTTTTTCAAATAAATCTGGTTTTGTATTAAATTTTTTTTTGGGGGGGGGGGGAAATGTATTTATTTTCAACTCTGATAGCAAATGTTTTGTAATATATTTTATGCTTTAAAATAAAGCATAACTAAAAAATTAATAAGCTATCCTCCCATTATAAAAATTTTATATAATCAATTCGGAAAAGTCATGAATTTTTTTATTTCTTAATGTTTGTGGGTACTCTGTAAGCATTTACTACCACATCAGCCAACCATGTCAAAGAACCTAACCCCATTTTTGGGGCTCTATCTTTTTAACCATGATAGAATGCCATTTAATTTTTACGCTAGTCAGACGACGTGGACAGCTTCTGAACTGGTACTCCTCTCTCCAAACTTCCACAGCCAACAAAGAAAAACATTAAATTATAACAGATTTAAGGTGTACCTTGCTACGTATACACATCAGATGTTTTACCGGCTATCATATTCAAACTCAGTATCCCAGCTTTTCCCTGTGTGGTGTAAGTGAAGCCTTAACCAAATGCGTTGTCAAAGTGGTTTGGCATTTACTAACAAGTGATTCAGCTTTGTTTTAGATTTCGTAACTTCCATAGTCTTTACAGAAATTTCTGACAAAATTAGTTGTATTCTTGGAATTACAAACACATAGTAAAATATTGCTAAACAAACTAAAAAACTTTCTTTTTTTTCTCCAAAACTGCTCATGAAAAGTTGATAGCGAATTTCTATCATGTGAGCCATAAGTTGATTTGATGAAATTCATATTGTTATATAGTGAAAGTATAGTAGTATGGGGGTCGCCATGCATTGAGTGATATGTTCAGTTTTTATGTTTGCAGCCGAAATCGAATGGTAAAAAACAAAGTTTATATTGTAAACTGCAAGTACAATAACAATGTACTGTTCGTTTAAGATAGGTACTCTGACCGCTACTAAGTCTGCGGCAGTCTGATGCTATGGAAACAAGAAGAGGGCATTTTAGGGAGGGTAGCTTCAATGAAGAGGATTCCTTTTCTCTTGCCGAAACCAGTCCTAAAGAGGGACCCCGCACCCCTGCTTGAAATAATCATACCTCGTTACCATAGTCACCGCCACAGCTCTATACGAATGTCTGGCAGGGTACCTTTCTTAGACAAACAGTAGAATAGATTGTTTTCTTATCTTAAATATAAAAAAAGGAAGAGAAAGAAATGTTGTCTCATTATGAATTTTAACTACTAACTCAACCTGTACTTATCTTTTTATGGTTAACCTTCTGTATCCGAAGTAACATTCTATGTATTTTATTCTTTTTTCAAAGTTTTATTATATAGGTGCTATACAATTTTTGAAGTTATGCTTCAAGATATGATAAATTGTAGTTATGCCAGATATTTTGCATTTGTCAGTTATAGATTAACTTTTATTTTATCAACTCTAGATTTGAAGATCTTCAAGATGAAATTGATGACCGGCTTCCCGAACCGAACTGTGGAAATGTGGCTGATCAGGATACTATTCTGAGAGTATAAGTGATCTGACCCAAGTTATTTAAACCAAAGAAATAACCATTTCAGGCTTTACATCATGCTGTGATCATATGCTGATGAATGGTTCATTGCCTAATGCTGTTGCCTTTCCTAAAGTTAGAAGCTTTAGCTCAATTTAGTACACTTGTTATAATTTTTTTTGTTGGTTTGATTCATAACTGTTATGTTTTTCCTGTTATTTTACGTATGTAGGACTATTTAGAAAACAAGACATGAAAGAATGAGTTTTTATTATTAATTTGGTATTTTGATAGTCTTATGAACTATGAACTCTTGTTTAGCAGAAAATTATTACTATGATCTTTAAATGTCTAATTGTTTTTCTTTAAACGTTATAGAATTTTAGTTAAAAGTATTTCCTAAATACTTGTTTTTGAATATATATTCTTCTTTATATTTTACCGTATTGTGATATTTTTCAAAATTATACTAATTCTCAAAAATTGTTTACGTGTTAATACTGTAAGTTCTCTGAAATCTCCTGTTTTTTTAATCCACTATAATTTTAGAACATAAACAATTGTCTGAATTTATAGTTAAATAGGTTTTAGTCTAGTTAATGCTATAGTAGCACAAGTTAATTTTCTAAAAGCAGTTACAATGCATAAAAATTACTTTTGTCTTTAAAAAACATGCAGTGCAATATTTTTTCAAACATTATTTTATATTAAACAAGTTTTTACGTTTATATTTTTATCTATTTTAAAATTATATCTTTAGTCTCATTTTTTTTAAAATCTATAGTGCATTTATATTTAAAGAAAGTTAGAAAAAGGATAAAAGAATTTAATAATTGAATCTAAATTATCAATTATACTTAAGTTTACTAATTTTTCTTTTAATATGCTAGCATTCATTTCTATTTATTTAGAAATAAAGATATAATTTAAAAATATAAACTAATAAAACATTTTAAATCTTAAGAATTCTAAATTAAGGGTTGTGGCGAGAAGCTATGCAGATTCAGAGAGTCTACAGTTATGTTAAGATTTATTGTAAATTTTGCTGATGGCATTTTAGAAGCAGCATTTATCTTCTTTTTTTTTTTTTTTTTTTTTTTTTTTTTTTTTTTTTTTTTTTTTTNTTTTTTTTTTTTTTTTTGTTACAACACTGAGTTTATATCTCAGCTTTTAATTATTATTGATTTCATATTATTTGAAGTTATCTTTTCCCATCTAGTTTGTTATCATTCATTGTTTTATTTTACCTTTTGTGTTATCTATTTTTGTTAATTTGTTCCTACTAAGTAAATTAATTGTATATTCAGTTTTTCCAAACAAAATTCATCTTGCCAACTTGAATTACAATCGGGATAATTTTCCTCATTAACCTGAAATGTAGGGAAATGTCAATTTTTCATACCTGTTTAATTTGTGTACAAAAGTATTTAATTTAATCAAATTGTTTGTACATATACATTATTGATTTAAGCTCTGAAATATTTTTTTTTTCTGAAATTTTTAAAATTTGAAAATAATAGTAAATAAAAAAAATTGATAAATAATTTTGATGCAATTATTAGTTTCAGTTTTTTTATATTTGTTATCCAATATTGCAAATTTGTTTGTTATTTTATTTTCTGCGAAGTTTTTTTTTATTTCAAATTTTTAAGTTTTAAAAATAATTTTATATAAAAATTATTAAAAGTTTATTTTTGATTTTTTTACTTATAAATAAAAAAAAAATTTAAAGTGTTTCAGTAATAAGCCTTTTTCTATTTCTTATTAAACAAACTGAATATGTGTTGCATTTAAAACAAAATCATAGTATTCAATTTTGATGAATTATATGTTTTAATTTTTCAAATTTGAATTTTTTTTTAGGGAATGATTTTCTAAATCACAATTATATTTTATAATGAAATAACTTGGCCTTTTTCACTTTAAGTGATAGTCACATTTAAATTAGAATATTTTTTCACTCTCGCCGCTAGCCAGAATATAATGATAGTTATTTTTATAGTGAAATATTTTTTGATATGTGTTACTTGTCAATTGTCAAACAATGATAGTTAGTTATAACTCAGAAAATTACCCAACAATACTTTTTTGTTTTTTTTTTAAACTGTTGGAAAGTTGGTGAAAGGCAATATTTTTACGCATAGCAGTAAAAAAAGAAAGGAATATATGAGAGCCATGACGTTCTACATTTCATGGCTCTCATATATTCCTCATATTATTATTGTTTTAATGCTTTTTTATTTGTTTCTTTAAATTTGCGACAATTCCAAATTTAGCTGTATGAATAACTTTCACTATTTAATGTAATAAAATAACATTTGATTCCTGGCTTTTTTTTTTTTTTTTTTTTTTTTTTTTTTTTTTTTTTTTTTTTTTTTNTTTTTTTTTTTTTTTTTTTTTTTTTTTTTTTTTTGGATATTTTGACTATATATCTATTTTTTTTCCTACTTTTGTTGAAAACCTTTCTGAAATTGGTGAAAGTCACTATTTGAACTCTTAAGAAAAAGGAATCTGTAAGTGCATGAAGTTGCATATTTCTTTGGTAAAATAGAAAAAATGAAAAACTAAAAAAAAAAAAAAAAAATAGTNAAAAAAAAAAAAAAAAGTAGTGTTGTGATGCTTTTTTTTTTATTTGTTGCATTATATTTTGGGGCAGTTTTAAAGATAGCTGTATGAGTAACTTTCACTAATTATTATAATTAAATAGCACTTAATGTCTGACATTGTTTTAATCTTTAGTCTATCAAACCTTTTTTTTTTATTTTACTTCTGTGAAATTAGTGATATTTGAACTCGTAGCTTTAGGTAAGATGAGTCTATATATGTCGTAAGTTACATTTTTCTGTGGTTAAAAAAAATTACAGAAAACAAAATGAAAAGTATTACAAAGCATTTTAATATTTTTTCTTTATTATTAGTTATATATATTTTTGGAGTAGTTCCAAAATTATTTATAGGAATAACTTTCATTTTGTTATAATAATGATGCAAAGTTTGATACCATACATTTCTCAGACAATTAGTCAATAATCCCTTTTACTTATATACTTTTTTTTTTATCTGTAACATTTTGGAATAGTTCCAAAAGTGAAACCATTACAATGAGATAGCTTAAACTTCTTCAGGCTAGAGACCCTACATAAGCAAAAAGTGTTTTGTTTTTCTGCTGCTTGGAAATAAATTTACTGAGGAAAAAGTTAACAATCAAAACAAATTAGATCTAAATTTTAGTAAATTATTTGCATTGAAATTATGATAAGTAGTTCTTATTAACCTATAGTTGACTACTATATATATACATACAGGGCCCATCCTAAGCTTTCACCACCTTGCCAAATGCAATGAAATCGTACATTTGACGAGTAAAATTGTGTTTTGTTGTTGAATTATTTTTTCCTATGGAGCAAAAAATATCTATTTGACTCAATTCTCAAAATTACGTCAAATTGGGTTTTTCTAAACTAATCAGTATTTCTTTATTTGATTGCTGTCATTTTTAGTAGATGCGCCGCATAACCAATGAAAATTGGGTCCAAATAATACAAGCTTGAAACAACTAGCGAAAAATATTTTTCTATGTGAAAAAAAAATTTTAAGATTTGCAATTGGTGAGGAGTTTTGAAAATTGGCTAACACTTTTGATATTTGATGCATATAATTTTAAATCCTTAGCTCGAGCCCTGTATATATACATCTATATATGTGTATATTACTTTGTGCTATTGAAGAAACAAGAAGATTCTTGAAAGTATCACTTATATATTTCATAAAATCAGTACCCAAACTGAGTATTAAATGATGAAGTTACATAATATTTATTAATATTTTAGTTAGTTTCCAATATAAATTATTGAGTATTCAGCTACTTAAATATGTCGGTGCCAGTTTCGTTATCTATTTCATTTTTTTAGTGTCCCATATTCGAATTCTGTAAATATGTTATTAATTACATTAAAGTACTTCAATATTTTGTTATGGATATATTTTAGACAATCTCATGAGTGCTGATTTGAGCAATAATATTTCAAATTTATGTTTATCTTGTTGTTTTTAGTGTTATAGCATTCGTTAAAACTTTTGTTAAAGTACTTAATTGAATAATTTGAATACGGCATAAATATTTTATTTCATATAAATGTTTTTGATTTGTGATTCTTTTTTGCATTTCCATTAAAGTTTTCTTAGAAATTTCCTTTTTTAGTTGGAAAGGGTTAATGTTACTTATTAGTTCCATACTATTTTGCTATTCTGTGTCAGTATTTTGAAATTTTACTATTCAATGTTAAGAAAATCTATATGGTTAACTTTATTAGCTCAAAGTATTTAGACCCGCATTCTCATTTTTTCATTTCAATCAGCTATTTGACTCCATATTCATCTGTAAAAATCTCATAGTTTGTTAAGTATATCAGGGATGTTTTTTACTTATAACCTTTTCTTTATAATATCTTTCATATGTTACTATATAATACGGAATGTTTTCAAACATAATTCATGTGTATTTATACTTAACCACTTATCAATTCAGTTATATTAGTAATTGAAAATTTGGTATAGTAAAACAATGTACAAGACTTGGGACAAAAAAATTAACAATGCATTTGATGCTTTACAAAAAAAATTTAAAGGCTAGGCCACAGAGCTATTCATACTTACTTTAAATACTCTTCTGACAAAAAAAGTTCTTAACAAGCATTTTCAATTCGCATAATTTATTGTATAAAATTTTGAAAAAATTTGTAACTACCTAGAAAGTTCTTTTTAAAAAAAGTTTTATGCAAAATGAATTGTTTTTTTTGAAGTACTTCAAAATAAAATTGCGTGACGTCAATTTGAGTTATTTTATTTTTGTTTCTGCAAGATTAAATTTTAATTTAAATGCTTTACAAGCAATATTTCCAAATTTTATTATTCATTTTATTTTCAAAAATATAAGAAAAATATTCTGATAAAATTAGTTTTTAATACAGTTTTCATAATGTTACTATTAAACCACAACTACTTAAAAATTTTTAAAGTTTCAATCTATTGTTCTAATTGTTGTATAATATTATATTTCCAAGTAAAAATAATTTAAATCATTCTAATCTTTGTGATGCGTGAAAATTTTTGCTTTTTTTTTCCCTTTCAAGAATTTTTCACTGTTAGAAAATATTTGCAATTATTGAAAATATTTACAATTGCACTGTTAGAAAATTTTTGGCTATTATATATTAAATAAAAATATCTTCTTGTAAATAAATCTTTTAGTGCTATTTTGCGTAGTATTTTGTATGGTATACAACTTACTATTATAAAGTCCCTTTTTTTTAAACGAATGTTATAAAACTTAATACGAGCTCAATATTTTATTCATGTA